TTGGTAACAGTAAGGAAATGATTTGTCATTGTTTTCTTCTAGGATGCTTTCTGAATTCCCAGGTATTTTTTGGATTAGCCTCATTCAAATACTAACCAAGTCTGACCATGCTTAGTCTTTTTGAGATTTATTTATTTATTAAATTTGTATGCCGCCCACCTCCCCCAATGGGTGACTCTGGGCAGCTCACAATTAAAACCAAAAACCCAAGCCATTAAAAAAACAATACCATATAAATAATTAAAATTAATTAATCAATTAAAATCTGACTATAAAACAACCCTATACATAAATAGGTGACTCTGGGCAGCTCACAATTAAAACCAAAAACCCAAGCCATTAAAAAAACAATACCATATAAATAATTAAAATTAATTAATCAATTAAAATCTGACTATAAAACAACCCTATACATAAATACTAAAAAACATTCAAGATGATGGGGGGGGCAAGGTCAATGACCCCACAAGCCACTTCCACTGGTGGGAGCCCCCATCCAGCCCCCAGGCATTCTGGCATACCCAGGTTTTCACGCCTTTCCTGAAGGGTTAGCCAAGAGATCAGCCAAGACAGGACAAAAATGGTATTTCCTTCAATTTCATTTATTATAGAAATCTATAATAATTTATTCCAGAGAGTTTATATACAAAATAGCAATTAGGAGACCAGAAATGATGTAATTGTCCAATCCCTACTTTATAAAATGAACAAGAAAGAGCATCTACTAAACCATGAGCAATTTATGTAGAACAGAGGTAGAGAAAACAACTAATGCTCCTTTATTATCTGTCGAAACAAATTATTTCATCTCCCACCAAGAATGGCAAATAAGACAATGTCTCTGCCAAATGCCAGAACGTTGAAGCCTTTGAAAAAATTCTGCCGCTATTAGCCTGCCTAATCAAAGTGTAGTCTCACTTCTTCAGGCAACTCAGTAGCTTGAGGTTCCTCCTACTCTGGAAAAACCTAACAAAGAACTGATTATATAATGATTACATAAGGAGGCACACCTACCTAACTCAGATATGCTCACAGAGCAATTCTTTACAAATACTCTAGATGATAATAGAGCCAAGAAAATCTCCAGTACAGTGGTACCTCTAGTTAAGAAATTAATCCGTTCCGTGACTCTGGTTGCAACTCGAGTTGGTCTCAAGTCGAGGTAAAGTTTCC